TGAAATATCGATGATACGACAACCCATTATCTCTCACACTTCTCTCCCTCCCCCCCCCCCCCCTTCTCATAATAATTAAAGTGTTCAATCTCATTATTCCACATAAACGTCACATCATCATAATAATAAGGGAAAATTGCAATCACGGTACCAAACCTTTCACTTTTTTGCAAACTTTGCCCAAACCTTTGTTTTGTACCACCTGTGGTACCAAACATTTAAACAATTCGCATCCGGAGTCCAAATTGACAGTTTTCGTCTGTTTGACCCAAAAACCGTCATTTGACTTCAAAAATTAAAATTTTAATAATTTTGATCAAAAAAGACAGGGATAAAATGGTAACTTTGTAATTTTAATATAAAAAATAAACAAAATCCACGAAATAAAACCTATCTCCTTCAATCTTCCCCAATCCTCTCACCCCAAAAAATCAAATTACACTCCCAATCATCGTCCTATTTGGAGGAAATGGAACTTGCCCGTGGTAGTCAGTTGCGAGCTCTTTTGTTGTTTTGGGGGTGGTGTAATTGGCGAACGTGGGGGAGGAACAGAAGTTGGAATTGGCGTCCTATTTGGTGAAATTGGGAAAGAATGGAGGAATTAGGTTCAGAAAAAGTGGTTTGAAGAGTTGGGTAGATGACTAATGAAAAGGAGAGGGGAAGAAGGAAAAGTACACAAAGAGCTAAGAAGTGGCGAGAGTGGGCACCGATTATGCACTTTGTTTCAGACACAACTCCACAAAGGTTTAGGCCATGGATTTTGTAAGTCGCAATTGATGCAGTATTGTAGAAAGCAACAAAAAGAAATTTATACAGATGGGATCATCGAAGATAAAAAGAAAACATTATCTAAAATATTGTTTTTTTTTTTTTAAGAATCAATTTACACATTGCAAGTGAATTTTCAATCTTTAAATATTTTTCTTGAGATGTAAAGTGAGCGGAGTGTGGTAGGAGTTTGAATCTTGAAGAAGGAAGAATTGTGTTTTGCTGAGAGAGAAATGAGAATTTGATGGTGGAAGAGAAGTGACAAATTTGTGGTGGCTACTACACTATCCGCCTGGTGGAGCTAGTGGGAGGAGGCGGTGGTGGTTGTGCTGGCAGTGTGCCAATGACGATGACGGCACTGTTGATGTCAGGAAGGAGAAATTGCAAGTTTTTATTTTTTCAAAATTTATTTAATAAGAAAATGGTCAAATTACCATTTTACCCCTCCTAATTTTGTCAAAATGGGTCAAAATCTACCATTATTGGTTGACTAACGGTCAACGGACGGAAACTGTCAATTTGAACTCCGGGTACGAATTTTTTAATGGTTTGGTACCGTGGGTCACACAAAACAAAGATTTGGACAAAGTCCGTAAAAAAGTAAAATGCTTGGTATCGTGACTACAATTTTCCCTAATAATAAATATCATTATTCTTAAATCCACCTAGAAATATATTAAACGGAATCAGAAAAAGGGACCTGTGCGTGAAATTTCAAATT